GCCCGGTGCCGCCGCCAGCGCGCCCGCTGCGCCGTGGTGGGCTGCAGGGCCAGCAGCCGGTCCAGCGCCCAGTAGCCGGGGGTCAGCAGCGCCTCGGCCACCGCGGCCACCGCGGCCAGCGTCCGGCTGGGGAAGGGGGTGTCCGGCAGGGTGGACGGGGGTGGCCACGGCATCGTGGTGTCCTGGGGGTCCCCGTGGTCCAGTTCGGAGGCTCGGGCGCAGTTGGCACAACCTGTGGGAAGAGACCCCGGTGAGGGGGGAGGGACCCCGGCCACGTCCCTGTCACCGGGAGGATGTCCCCAGATGCAGCAGGACCCTCCGTGACCACCGTGGGAAATGGGGGGGGACCCCCCCCGGGAGTCCTGGTCAGTGTGGGAAACTCCCGTGGGCAGAGCGAGACCCCTCCCCATTCAGACCACCACCGGACCTCCGGACCCCCCCAGGTCCCGATCCCCGTGGGAAACTCACGTGGCCGCAGCGGGACCCCCCTCCCCGGCCACCGTGGGAAAGTCCTGCGACAGCCAGCTGCCCCTCCCCCGCGTCCCAGCGGCCACCGTGGGAATGTCCCCCGGCCGGGCCGTCCCCCGCGTCCCGGCATCCGGGACCGTCCCCGGCGCCCGGAATTGTCCCCGGTGTCCGAATTGTCCCCGGCATCCGGGACCGTCCCCTGTCCGGGAAGCGGCAGCGGCAGCCGGGATGGGGGTGACGGGCACGGGACCCCCTCTCGGTGTCCCCGCAGGGTCCCCACGGAGTCCCCGGGACCCCCGAGGCTACCTCAGGTGGGTGCAGCCGGGAGGCGTCACTCCGGTCCCCTCCCTCGGTGGTCCCGGTGGCCCCAGCAGTGGCCACCTGAGCCCCCAGGGCCCCCCGCAGCCGCCCCCTCACCTGTCCCCGGGCTTGGGGGGGGTCAGGAGCCACCGGGACCCCGCACAGGGTGAGCCCGGCCAGGTGAGTCCCGGCCCTGAGCCCGGCCAGGTGAGGCCCGGCCCCTCCCCTTGTCCAGGTGAGTCCTGGTGGGTGAGTCCCGGCCCTGAGCCCGGCCAGGTGAGGCCCGGCCCTGAGCCCGGCCAGGTGAGCCCCGGCCCCTCCCCTTGTCCAGGTAAATCCCGGCCTCTGATCCTGTCCAGGTGAATCCTGGCCCCTCCCCTTGTCCAGGTGAGTCCCGGCCCCTCCCCTTGTCCAGGTGAATCCCACTGGATGAGCCCGGCCAGGTGAGTCCCAGCCCCTGATCCTGCCCAGGTGAGTCCTGGCCCCTCCCCTTGTCCAGGTGAGTCCTGCCCAGGTGAGTCCTGGCCCCTCCCCTTGTCCAGGTGAGTCCCGCCCCTCCCCTCGTCCAGGTGAGTCCTCTCTGGCCGGGCTGGCCCGACAGGTTCTCTGCAGCTCTGAGCCCCCAGGGCCGGACACTGCACGCGGACAGGTGACACCTGAGCCGGACAGGTAACACCTGACCTGGGCCAATGACAGCTCACCTGGGCCAGTGACACCTCACCTGGGTCACTGACACCTCACCTGGGCAGGTGACAGCTCACCTCACCTCACCTGCCTGACTCCTGCCCCAGTTCCTCCCGGCTGCTGCTGACTGCAGCTGGCCAACCCCAGCGTGGGACGGTGCCGGACACTGGGAGCACTGGGAGCACTGGGAATGCTGGGGGTACTGGGGACACTGGGGGCACTGGGAATGCTGGGGGCACTGGGGACACTGGGGGCACTGGGGACAGTGGGAACACTGGGAATGCTGGGAATGCTGGGGGCACTGGGAGCACTGGGAATGCTGGGGACACTGGGAGCACCGGGGACACTGGGAATGCTGGGGACACTGGGGACAGTGGGAATGCTGGGGACACTGGGGGCACTGGGAGCACCGGGGACACTGGGAATGCTGGGGACACTGGGGACAGTGGGAATGCTGGGGACACTGGGAGCACTGGGGGCACTGGGGACACTGGGAGTACTGGGAATGCTGGGGGCACTGAGGGTGCTGGGGGTACTGGGGGACACTGGGGGCACTGGGAATGATGGGGACACTGGGGACACTGGGGGCACTGAGGATGATGGGACACTGGGGATGTGGCCATACTGGGGGCACTGGGGTTACTGGGGATAATGGGACACTGGGATGTGGCCATACTGGGGACACTGGGGATGATGGGACACCGGGATGTGGCCATACTGGGGGCACTGGGGTTACTGGGGACATGGGATGATGGGACACTGGGGATGGATGATGGCCATACTGGGGACACTGGGGATGCTGGGGTCACTGGGATGTGGCCATACTGGGGGGCACTGGGGTTACTGGGGATGATGGGACACCGGGATGTGGCCATACTGGGGGCACTGGGGCACCCCCAGGGTCCCCCAGCCCATCCCTGGTGCCGTGGGTGGCAGGGCTGGCACGTGCCACAGGTGCCTCAGGCCAGGTGTGGCACCTCCGGCCACGGGACAGCCCCGACACCCACGGGGCGGAATCGGTGTCACCTGGCCCTGTGGGGACCGTCCCCAGTGTCCCCAGTGTCCACCCAGAGGGGTCCCAGTGTCCCCAGTGCCCACCCAGAGGGGTCCCAGTGCCCCCAGTGCGCACTGGGGTCACTGGGATGATGGGACACCGGGATGTGGCCATACTGGGGGCACTGGGGCACCCCCAGGGGCCCCCAGCCCATCCCTGGTGCCGTGGGTGGCAGGGCTGGCACGTGCCACAGGTGCCTCAGGCCAGGTGTGGCACCTCCGGCCACGGGACAGCCCCGACACCCACGGGGCGGAATCGGTGTCACCAGAGCCTGTGGGGACCGTCCCCAGTGTCCATCCACAGGGGTCCCAGTGTCCCCAGTGCCCACCCAGAGGGGTCCCAGTGCCCCCAGTGCCCACCCAAGGGGTCAGTGCCAGTGTCCCCATGTCCCCAGTGTCCATCCAGAGGGGTCCCAGTGTCCCCAGTGTCCACCCAAGGGGTCAGTGCCAGTGTCCCCATGTCCCCAGTGCCCACCCAGAGGAGTCACTGCCAATGTCCCCGTGTCTCCAGTGCCAACCAAGGGGTCACTGCCAGTGTCCCCCTGTCCCCAATGTCCACCCAGAGGGGCCCCGGTGCCCCCAGTGCCCACCCAAGGGGCCACTGCCAGTGTCCCCAGTGTCCCCAGTGTCTATCCAGAGCGATCCCAGTGTCCCCAGTGCCCACCCAACAACCCAGGGGTGCCACCAGGCTCTGTCCCGGTACTGGGAGCAGTGGCACACGGCCCGTGCTGGCCCGGTGACACGGCTATTGTCCCCAGGGTGCTGGCAGTGTCACTGGCACTGCCCCTGTGCTGCTGGCAGTGTCACCCCCCTTGTCCCCTCAGTGCTGTCCCCGTGTCACCGGCATTGTCCCCGCGGGGCCGGGCTCTCCCGGGTGTGGCGACCAAGCCCTCCCCGGTGTGGCCCTGCGGTGCCCGGGGGTGACAAGTGGCACCGCGCCCATGGCCGGCGGGCTGGGCAGTGCCCGGGCACCCGAGCCAGCTCCGAGCCCGTCCCAGTCCCCGTTCCCAGTCCCCGTTCCCAGTCCCAGTTCCCAGTTCCCAGTCCCCGTTCCCAGTTCCCAGTTCCCATTCCCAGTCCCCGTTCCCAGTCCCCTTCCCCGTCCCAGTCCCCGTTCCCAGTCCCCTTCCCCGTCCCAGTCCCCGTTCCCAGTCCCCTTCCCCGTCCCAGTCCCCGTTCCCAGTCCCCTTCCCCGTCCCAGTCCCCGTTCCCAGTCCCCTTCCCCGTCCCAGTCCCCGTTCCCAGTCCCCTTCCCCGTCCCAGTCCCCGTTCCCAGTCCCCGTTCCCAGTTCCCAGTTCCCGTTCCCATTCCCGTTCCCATTCCCAGTTCCCGTTCCCGTTCCCGTTCCCAGTTCCCGGCTCCCTGCCATTGTCCCTTGTCGCCGCCGCCTCCCAGTCCCCCCCCCTCACCTCCGCACGCCGCCGGGGCCACCGCCACCGGCCCGGGGTGGCCGCCACCGCCGCTCATGGCCCCCGGGGCCACCGGGACCACCGGGACCAGCGCTCGGGGCCACCGTGGCCACCGGGGCCACCGGGACCAGCGGGGCCAGCGGCGCTGCCACCGGAGGCTGCGGGACAGACAAACATCCGCCACCGCCGGGTCACCGCGGCGCCGCCCGGCCGCGTTCCTGTCCCGCTGCGTGGCCGGGGCCGCCCCGGGGCCAGCGCGGGGTTGGTGGCCCGCGGGTGGCCGCAGGTGGCCCGCAGGTGGCCCGGGGGTAGCCCGCGGGTGGCCCGGGGGTAGCCCGCGGGTGGCCCGCAGCGGCGGCCGGACCGGTCCTGCCGGTGGCCCCGGGCAGCACGGGGGGGTGGCTGCGGTGGCACGGGAGTGGCGGTGGCACCTGTGGCGCCCGCGCCACCCCCCCACGGCCTCAGCTGTCCCCAGGTGTCCCCAGGTGTCGCCAGGTGCGGAGGTGGCACGGGCGGGGGTGGCCCTGTCCCCTCCCTGTCCCCTCCACTTCCTTTTGTCGCCACCGCAGCCAGCGGACTCACCACCACCGGGACCAGCGCTCGGGGCCACCGTGGCCACCGGGGCCACCGGGACCAGCGGGGCCAGCGGCGCTGCCACCGGAGGCTGCGGGACAGACAAACATCCGCCACCGCCGGGTCACCGCGGCGCCGCCCGGCCGCGTTCCTGTCCCGCTGCGTGGCCGGGGCCGCCCCGGGGCCAGCGCGGGGTTGGTGGCCCGCGGGTGGCCGCAGGTGGCCCGCAGGTGGCCCGGGGGTAGCCCGCGGGTGGCCCGGGGGTAGCCCGCGGGTGGCCCGCAGCGGTGGCCGGACCGGTCCTGCCGGTGGCCCCGGGCAGCACGGGGGGGTGGCTGCGGTGGCACGGGAGTGGCGGTGGCACCTGTGGCGCCCGCGCCACCCCCCCACGGCCTCAGCTGTCCCCAGGTGTCCCCAGGTGTCGCCAGGTGCGGGGGTGGCACGGGCGGGGGTGGCCCTGTCCCCTTCCCTGTCCCCTCCACTTCCTTTTGTCGCCACCGCAGCCAGCGGACTCACCTTGGGGGGGTGGGGGCCGTGTCCCCTCCTCTGCCCCGGACCCCCAAACCCCGCACCTCGGTCCGTGTCCCCCCGTGTCCCCCCTTGTCCCCCCCTGTCCCCTCCTGTCACCCCCTGCGCCACCCAGCCCGCAGGCGGCCCCGGCTGAGCCCCCGCAGGGGCAGGGGGATACACGGGAGGGGACAGGGAAGGGGACAGGGAAGGGGACAGGGACCCCCGCCCGCCCCCCGGGACCCCCCAGGTGACCTCGCTGTCGCTCCCCGGCCGCGGTGTCGCCTCCAGAAGCGAAAGGAAAAGCGCGGCCAAAAGCGAAAGGAAAAAACTCCGTGACCCCCCCAGGGCGGCCGTGACCCCCCCAGCGTGACTGTGACACCCCCAGTGCGACTGTCACCCCCCCAGCGTGACTGTCACCCTCCCAGGGTGACCCTCCCAGTACAGCTGTGACCCCCCCAATGTCCCTTGTGTGTCCCACTGTCCCTCTGTCCCACCCCAATGTCCCTTCATGTCCCACCCCTGTGTTCCTCTGTCCCTTTGTCCCTCTGTCCCATCCCACTGTCCCTCTGTCCCATCCCAATGTCCCTTCATGTCCCACCACTGTGTCCCTCTGTCCCTTTGTCCCTCTGTCCCATCCCACTGTCCCTCTGTCCTACTCAATGTCCCTCTGTCCCATCCCACTGTCCCTCTGTCCCCCTCAATGTCCCTCTGTCCCACTGTCCCTCTGTCCCACCCCAATGTCCCTTCATGTCCCACCCCTGTGTTCCTCTGTCCCTTTGTCCCTCTGTCCCATCCCACTGTCCCTCTGTCCTACTCAATGTCCCTCTGTCCCATCCCACTGTCCCTCTGTCCCCCTCAATGTCCCTCTGTCCCACTCATGTCCCTCTGTCCCGTCTGTCTGTCCCTCTGTCCCACCCCACTGTCCCTCTGTCCCATCCCACTGTCCCTCTGTCCCACTCGTGTCCCTCCGTCCCACTCATGTCCCTCTGTCCCATCTGTCTGTCCCTCTGTCCCAACCCAGTGTCCCTCTGTCCCACACGTGTCCCTCTGTCCCCCTCAATGTCCCTCTGTCCCTCTCAATGTCCCTCTGTCCCACCCACTGTCCCTCTGTCCACCCCAGTGTCCCTCTGTCTGTCCCCCTCAATGTCCCTCTGTCCCACTCCAGTGTCCCTCTGTCCACCCCAGTGTCCCTCTGTCCCTTTGTCCCTCTGTCCCACCCGTGTCTCTCTGTCCCACTCCATGTCCCTCTGTCCCACCTCACTGTCCCTCTGTCCCTCTGTCCCTCTGTCCCCCTCAATGTCCCTCTGTCCCACCCGTGTCCCTCTGTCCCACTCAATGTCCCGTCTGTCTGTCCCTCTGTCCCTCTGTCCCCCTCACATCCAGCAGTGCTCTCCACCTTCCACCATCTCCTCTGTCCGGGGGGGACACACAGGTGTCCGGGGGGGTCCCCAGGGTGTCCGGGGGGGTCCCCAGGGTGTCCCAGGTGTCCGGGACTGTCCAGGTGTCCAGGGGGGACACACCAATGTCCAGTGACATCCCAGGTGTCCAGGGAGGTGTCCGGGGGGGGGTCCCAAGTGTCCAGGGGGGTCCCAGGTGTCCGGGGAGGGGACACAGAAGTTCCTGAGGAGGGGTCCCCAGGGTGGGGGGCACAGAAGTGTCATGGGGGGGTCCCAAGTGTCCGGTGGGGAAAGCCACAGCCCACTGTGTCCCTATGGGGTGGGGGGAGGTCTCCATGGGGCAGGGGAGGGTCTCTATAGGGCAGGAGGTGTCTCTATGGGGTCAGACCCCGCTATGGGGCAGGGGGGTCGCTATGGGGCACGGGGGTCTCTCTGGGGCAGAAGGGTCTCTATGGGGCAGGAGGGGTCTCTATGGGGCAGAGGGGTCTCTCTAGGGTTCAGACCCCTCTATGGGGCAGGGGGGTCTCTGTGGGGCAGGGGGGTCTCTATGGGGCTCAGGCCCCTCTATAGGGCAGGGGTGTGTCGCTATGGGGCACAGGATCCCCCAAATAAGGGACCCCTCTGTCCCTGCCCCACAGAATCCCCTAAAAAGGGACCCCCTTGTTCCTGCACCACAGAATCCACTAAAAAGGGACCCCTTTTCCCCTGCCCCACAGAATCCCCTAAATAACGGACCCCTTTGTCCCTGTCCCATAGAATCCCCTAAATAAGGAACCCCCTGTCCCTGCCCCACAGAATCCACTAAATAAGGGAACCCCTGCCCCACAGGATCCCCTAAACAAGGGACCCCCTTCCCTTTCCCATAGAATCCACTAAATAAGGGACCCCTGTCCTATAGAATCCCCTAAATAAGGGATCCCCTGTTCCTGCCCTATAGTAGAATCCCCTAAAAAGGGACCCCTTTGTCCCTGCCCTATAGAATCACCTGAAAAGGGACTGCCTGTCCCTGCCCCACAGAATCCCCTAAATAAGGGACCCTCTGTCCCACAGGATTCCCTAAAAAGGGACCCCCTGCCCCACAGAATCCCCTAAAAAGGGACCCCCTGTCCCTGCCCCACAGAATCCCCTAAAAAAGAGACCCTCTTGTCCCTGTCCCATAGAATCTCCTAAAAATGGACTGCCCTGTCCCTGCCCCACAGAATCCCCTAAATAAGGGCCCCCCCTGTTCTTGCCCCACAGAAACCCCTTAAGTAAGGGATCCCCGGTCCCATAGACGACCCTAAATGTGCCCTGCCAGGCCCTGCCCCGCAGACTCCCCCCACAAACGGGACTCCCCTGCCCCACAGAACCCCCAAAGAGGAACCCCCCTGTCCCTGCCCCACAAACACGCTCCAGCAAGGACCCCCCACCCCACCCCTGCCCCACAGACTCCCCCAAAAACGGGACCCCTCCGGCTCTGCCCTATAGAACTCCCCCCAAACCTGGGATCCCCCGATCTGCCCCACAGCTCACGCTGTGGGGCAAACGCGGGGGGCTCAGGCCCCTCAGCACCACAGAGACCCCATGGGGGGGGTGGGGGAGGGTGGGGCCGCCCCCTCCCCTTCCTTTCTCAGCCCCCTCCTCCCCTCCCCACGGCTCCTCCCCCCACGGCCGCCCTATAAAAGCTGTGGGGCCGCGGGGCTGCCAACGGTGCTGCTGTGGGGCACAGACTGAGGTGGGGGGCGAGCATTTGGGGTGGGCACAGGGGGTGTGTGGGAAGGCTGTGGGGTCTGTGGGGTGCGCAGGGGGTCTGTGGGGCACGCAGTGTTTGGGTGGGTCATGGGTCACACGGGGGATCTGTGGGGCGCGTGGGAAGCCTGCGGGATCTGTGGGGCACAGGGGATTTGTGGGGGACACAGGGACAGAATCCCCTAAATAAGGGACCCTCTGTCCCACAGGATTCCCTAAAAAGGGACCCCCTGCCCCACAGAATCCCCTAAAAAGGGACCCCCTGTCCCTGCCCCACAGAATCCCCTAAAAAAGAGACCCTCTTGTCCCTGTCCCATAGAATCTCCTAAAAATGGACTGCCCTGTCCCTGCCCCACAGAATCCCCTAAATAAGGGCCCCCCCTGTTCTTGCCCCACAGAAGTCTGTGGGGTGCATGGAAAAGCTGTGGGTTCTGTGGGTTACAGGGCACTCAGTGTTTCTGTGGGTCACAGGGCGGCTTGTGGGGCACATATGGGGCAGGGGCATGCTTTACTGTGGGGGGGTCACATAGGGCACAGAGGGTGGGCTATGGGGTGCATGGGAATGCTGTGGGTGCTATGGGGGCACAGGGGTCTGTGGGGGGCACAGGGGTCTGTGGGGCGCAGCCCCTCACCCTCCGTGTCCCCCCAGATCCCTCCATCCAACCTCCCAGACCTACAGACTCCAGGTGAGGGCAACCGGGGGACTTGGGGTGGGGGGCGAAAGGCAGTCGGGGTCTGTCCCCCTCCCTGTCCCCTCCCTGTCCCCTCCCTGTCCCCTCCCCGTCCCCCGCGAGTGCCAGTGTCCCCACGGAGCAGATGGCGGACACGGTGCTGGTGGCACCGTGGGGTCAGGGATGGCCACGGGGGTCAATCAATGGTCACGGGGGTCCATCGAGGGTCAGCGGGTGGGTGAGGGTCCGTCCCCATCCCCCAGGTGACGCTGTCCCCAGGACAGATGGCGGACGCGGTGCTGGTGGCACCGTGGGGTCAGGGATGACCATGGGGATCAATCAATGCCGCTGGGGTCAATAAATGGCCATGGGGGTCAATCAATGACCACGGGGGTCCATCGAGGGTCACGGGGGTCAATAAATGGCCATGGGGGTCAATCAATGACCACAGGGGTCAATCAATGGTCACAGGGGTCCATCGGGGGTCAGTGGGCGGGTGAGGGTCTGTCCCCCAGGTGACATTGTCCCCAGGACAGATGGCGGACGCGGTGCTGGTGACACCGTGGGGTCTGGGATGACCATGGGGATCAATCAATGGCCATGGGGGTCAATCAATGACCACTGGAGGTCCATCGGGGGTCAGTGGGCGGGTGAGGGTCCATCCCCCAGGTGGCTCGGGGACATGGGGGGCTCATGGGGACCTTGACATCATGGGGGCTTGGGCACATGGGGAGGGTCACAGGGCGTGGATGGTGTCAGGGGGACCTTGGGGTCACAGGGGGCTTGGGGACATGGTGAGGGTCACAGGGACCTTGGGGACATGTGGGGGTCATATGGGTGTCAATGGGACATTGGGGAGATGTCACCGTGGAGACCGAGCTGGGAGAGGTGACAACGGGAGGTCACGGGGACCTTGGGGACATGGGGAGGGCACAGGGCTTGAGAGACATCACGGGGACCT